TTTCTTTGTTGTAGCTTTCGCAAGACCGCTCTAACTTTCCTGTCCTTCAAAACAATAGTGTTCACAGGAGAACCAACATGAAATTTGTTGGCCCCTAACGCCACTGCTTTAGCCACAAGTTTAAGTGAATCCTTATTGGGAATACCTTAAACATGTTCATCTATCATCTCAAAAAATTTATCCATATGTCTTCCAAGAGAATCACAAGGCTTAATTTAAAGAGATAAAATAGAGACTTACCTGCCGGTAATACTCCTCTACAGATCGACAAAGAGATAGGAGTGCAACATGCCCATCGATGCTCGACATGGATTGGGGCCACTCCTTCATCCAACCGATAAGTCTATCTGCCTCCTCTGCTCGGCCAACTTCAATGCCGGCCACATGCTCCACCTTCACAGATTCTTGTGGAAGATCAACGTTGTGTTTTCCATGTCGCAGAGCCATATTTCACTTCAAACACACGTGTCCCACCAGGTGTGCCAAAAATGTTTCCTTGCGAAATTAAATACCACCGCCGGTGGCGAATTTTTTTCCGGCGATGTTGATTTGATGTTTCGCGACGGAAACTTTTTTGGTGTCGTTTGATCGGACGCACCACCCACTGTTGAAACCGTCTAATATCCACCGTCGGGCGATGTTGATTTGATCGATGCACCTCTGAATGCCGAAATCAACGTGACTGTTAAATATCCACCGCCTGGCGAAGTTGATCTGATCGATGTACCTTTGACTTCTAACCAAGAACAATCGTTACTCGGTTCACACCTCTCCAAACAATGTTCGAACGAGGGTGTTTGAGTTTTTGGGGAATCTACGTTAAAACTACTCCTACAGAGATTCCTGTGGAGAGCTCCGCGACTACGACTACTGCTACGACTATGGAGATCCTTCCTGGAAGGAGAGCTCCGCAAGGGAGTTACAAAGAAGAAAGGTAAAGTTTGACAGATGTGTTTCTGTGTTGATTTGGTTGTCCTTTCTCTCTCCTTGCTCTGGTGCTTTTATTCGAAAACATCTTCGTAGTCTTCACGCTCTGTGAAACCACTTCCCCAACTGCTCCGTGGTGAACTCACACGTGTCTCAACCGCCTTGATTATCTCCTCCTCGCTCTAGTTGGCGCGAATCTTACGTGAAAGAACAAATCATCGCTGCACCGTTGTAAACTGCTGACACTGCATCTCCAATCTCCACTTTTATCCACATGAGACACACGTGTGAAGTACCTAAGCCAAGGACCGGTATCGCGGTTCGAACAGTGACGTTGTTATTTCATGGCTACAATACCGTCATGGATTTGAGCCACAAAATTATTAACAAAACCGCATTATTAATTGAAATCGCGCTCTTGCAAGACCTGCATCGGTGTTGGTATTTAAACTCCACGTCATTGTCGGACTCGGGACATTGCATAACTAACCTCACAACATCGCTGAGATCGGTGTTGTTACCCATCGCGATGTTGTTGAGCTCGCATCATTGTCAAATTCACAAATTGAATTTACGACATCGTTTAACTCCGCGACATTGTTGAACGCTGAAATTGTTTACCATGTGGCATCGTTGGGTCTCATGCGATGTCGTTTTCTTCCCCAAACAACTCTATCTGTTTTTTTAGTCCACGACATTGTTTTATATTAAACACTGTCGTTTTCTAATCCGCGGTGTTGTTTTCTCTTGCGGCGTCGTTTTCAGCCAAACAACACCCTCTAAAATAATTATTAAAAAGATTAGTTAAACCCGCTCATTATTATATTGTCATCCCTCGGCACCGTCTAATCTTTCCGCAGCATCGCTTTTCACTAATCGATGCCGACCTTGAACTGCTCCGTCCCGGTCCAATCAAACAATGTCGTTTTTCATTTCGCGACACTGTTCTCTACCAAACGATACCATTTTTGTCGTCTTGTGGTGTCGTTGAGCTTGTCGTGCCGCTCGCCAAAATCCAACCCGGTGTGGTATGGTTTCTAACTAAACGACATAGCTTAGTAATACCGCGGCGTTGTTGATGCCTTAAGCGGTGTCGTTTTTAGCTAAACAACACCGCTTGATTCTACCAGCGACATCGTTTTAATATTAAACGATGTCGTCCTAACTACTGCGACATTGTTGGGCTTACTCGCGGTATTGTTTCTAAATCCGCGGTATCGTTTTACCCATCTGCGATGCCGCTTGTCTCCACGCGGTATCGCTTCTCCCCTTCCGACAAGGAATAAAAAAAACTCCTTTTACAACAGCAACACTAACCGTGCGGCCCATATCAAGTGTCGCGGTATCGCTGAGCTTCCTTGCGGTATCGTTTTAACTTTTAACTCTCCGCGATGCAGCTCGACTCCAAACGACACCGTTTTTTACCCACGGTATCGAATTAAATGCCAAGACTAATTAATGCGCCATTTATTTCAAGCCAAATTAATTTTAGGTGTCACCAGTATTCCATTAATGCAATATATAAACTAGTTTTGTGTAACATTAGTTTTAGTCTCCATACAACTATAAATAAACATTAAAAGTGTAACAGCAGTCTATTTAGTAGTAGGTAATTTGCATAACTAGCAAATTGAATTCTCTGCTAATAACATCAAACCTAGTTAGAACTTAGATGCTACAATAAATTATAGAACTATTCCTCATATTTGGTCTAGTATCTTTGAATAACTAAAGTCAACTTGTTTACACGTTTATGATATGAATCATGAGATCTAATCTTCTCAAATTAGTGACTAAAAATTGAGTTGTAAGCTTACACATAGGCTCAAATTCTGTATTGGAAGTTCGGCCAAAATCAATAAGCGATACTAAAACTGGAAAATTATAAGCATCACAATGCAAAAGCTAGTCAATCATGCTATAAAATTCATCATTAATAATAACCAAGACAAGTGGTGGGGCAACTCCACCAAAACGATCCTCATGTCTCTTTTATTCTATGATTCCTTATAAGTCCTTTTCCTATCCTCCAACCAATGCATACCAAAATTGGCTAAATTGTGCGCATCTTTCCTATCCCCACCATTCAACTCGTTAAAAATTGGTTAACATATTAAAATTTATTACCCTACTTATTTCATCTTTACCATGAACTTAAATATCAGTATATTTACTCTTTTAACTATTCTTTTATAAGGATCATATAAGTTTACTTTTTTGTGATTAATATAGTACTATAGAGATATTAAATTTTGAACCTGAAATATTCAAATAATAAACTAGTGGTATTACCAATTTACCAATAGACCAACCCCTTATTCGTTTACTCTTTTAACTTTATTCCTTGTTGAGTTTCTCAACCTTGTATTTGGTGTTGTGTTTCCGCTTTGCTTTTTTGACAAGTAGGTTATTGAGCTATGAGATTATCATCATTGTTAAACTAGATATTTACGTGATATAAAATATCAAGTTAACATTTTAATGAAAAATTAATAAAAATAATTAGAACACATCAGTACTGCTTAAAATAGCATGGATTCTTCCAAATGATCACAGCAAGTTATTTTTGTCATAACTTTACTCACGTTTTTTTTTAAACGGACACTAAAGAGCATCCTAACCCATGTATTTGTCATTGATTTTACAAGATTAAAAAAAATAGTGGAGCCCCCTAGTGGGTGCAGATCGGTTAAGTAACTTTATGGTACTAAAACCGCATACATAACCCAATAAGAATCCGCCACATCAGCGTCACCTTCTCTCTTCTCGAAAAACTTTTAATTTTTCTTTCCTTAATCATTAACGGACGATTTCTCACTCGTTTTAACTTGAAATTTAATTTTTTTCACAGTTAGATCAGATTAATTGTGCTCTTCAAAATGATATCCACTATGATATTTTTTGGAACAAAAAAAATTTGTCAGTTATTACTAGTCTATATCATATGGTATTTGATGTATCATATGGTATTGGCTGGTATTAAATAAAAGCATATTATATGGTATGAAAAATACCACCCCATACCAGGGTGGTATAGTATGATATGAAGTTGGTCACGAGACATATGAAATATTTTCACCCATAAATTTTTGAAATCTAATAGATCATGATTAAATTGTTTCTTCTGTGCAAAAATTTCTGAAAACGACTAAAAGACGAAGGAGATACCACATGGTATGGAGTTGGTAACGAGATGTATGAACTTTTTTTCTCAAAAAATATTGAAAATGAATAATATTTTGTAGAGCACAACAAACTCGTTCTATCTGTGCAAAAAAAAATTGAGATCCGAATTAGAATGAAGAAGATATGATCCAATTAAGAAAACTAGGCAAAATAAATTTTTTTAATTCTCCACCTTTAGATTTACAACCACTTTAAACAAAGGTCCAAATTTAATTATTCATAATTATACACCTTAAAATCATGCACTCAATCTTAACCCTCCCTAGTCCCTACCGAGACCGTGAGACTGTTTGGCCCTTGAAAATCCGCAACTAAAAGTTTTTGTTATAATTCTACTGAGTTTTTACTAAACCATTTTGAGTAGAGTTAATTGTAAAAAGCATTAGCTTTCTGAAGTGGAACCGGATTTTTGAAAACGTGTATTTCGGTTTCCCAGAGTGATTGGGGTATTCCAAAGGTGCTAGACAGCCACGCGTCACGCTGCCTGTAGCTACACGCCATCTCCCGTTGTGGGCTTGTTGCCGAGGTCGGCAAGTTTTCCAGAAACTTCTTCCAACTCCTGGCCAGAATTCTCCGCTGCATCTCGCGGCTGAAACTACAACACGTGTCCACCCTACCACGTGAGCATCCGACGTGGCCAGCCGATTTCGCGGAATTTGATACGCCCCTCCGCCGTCCCCAGCGCCCCTCTTCCTCAAACAATTTTTTTCCGGTCTATTTTGTCTTTCAACTTTCATCAATGAATCCCGTTCACCAAATCCGCCGCCCATATCCTCTAGGTCGCCGGTAGCTCTTCCCAATTTCATCGTCGTCTTCTAATTCCCCTGCTTCTTCCTTTCCTTTTCTTTGCTTGCCTTGCCATTTCCCCCATCCTTCACCGCTCGGCGATGAATGGGGAAGGAAGAGAGGACGAAACTGCGAAGGACAAGGATAAGTTGGTGTTCATGTGCGGCTACCTTCCTGGTGCTCTGCCTGAGCGGTCCCCGATTTCCTCTCCCGTCGTTGTAAGGTCCGACGGCTTCGGCTGGAAGGATGCCTGCGGCGGCGGCTGCGGCTTCGCGATGGCCATTTCAGGTGCTTTCTCTTCCTTTTCCGATTTCCTTTCTGTTTCTCTATTGGACTTTCTGCTCTCTTCTGAGCTTTTGGATTCTCTAACTGGTGTTCGACTAGAGTCGAATTACTTCTGCCATTGGCGTTGAATAGTAATGCTATGACTAACAGATTCTCAGCTGGAAAATGTTCTCTTTGGCCCATTAACGAATAGTTAGGTTTCCTCTGTATGTTGGAAGCTTCTCAGAGAAGCAGGATAGCGCTTGATTCGCATGGGCCAAATGGCTTCCCAATCCATTTCATGCCTTGCTAGAGTCTGCTTACTAAAGTTTGTTTCTATTAAGTCTTGGGATTCCTGGGTTAACATGCTAGACTGGGATTGTCAAAACTGTTCTGAGTTTGCTTCCACTTCATGTAATTCCTGTCTGTGGAACCCTGAGCTCTTTACTTTACCTTACTTCCTGGAACAAAATTCACTCAGCCCCAATCCCAAACTAGCTCTGACATCCCCGAGAAGCAGCTATCTTGACTCATTCAGTCAAATTTTAGTAACCCATTCAGCCATTTGGTCGTTGATTCCTACGACTAAGTGCTCTAACAGATTGTTCTTTATTTCCAATTAGACTCTGGGAAGCTTATTACGTGGGGTTCAACCGATGATCTTGGTCAATGCTACATCACAGCGGGAAAACATGGGGTAAGGCTTCTCTTGTTTCATTGTGGAGTTACAATTTCCGGGAGCTTTTCTTTGGCTTGTTTCTTAGAGAGCTGAACTCCCTCTCTTGCTTCTCCATCACAATTTTGTCCGCAAAGGAAATCCCCGAGCCTTTCCCTCTTCCAACTGATTCTGTCGTAATAAAGGCTGCAGCAGGCTGGGCTCACTGTGTAGCTGCTACAGGTACCATACATGTCTGTATTTCTATACATAAATGACTTGCCTCTAAGGTTCATGCTCTTTTGCGTTGGGTGTTTTCATCCTTACAGTCATTAGCTCAACTCCTTGGAGTTGGTACAGTTTATGCTCTTCTTTTTGTACAAGAGCAGGGGTGACCCAGAGTTTCTTCGTCCTTCAGCTCGTGGTTTCTGAACACCAGTCCATAGCCCTGGTTAACTCTCTTTTTGTGTTCCCCGAGTTCAGATGTTGGGGAAGTGTTTACGTGGGGATGGAAAGAGTGCATCCCTTCAGGGAAGGTATTTGGAGATCCATCTGCTTCCAGAAGTTCAGAGAACGATGTTCCAGAAAGACCGTGTCCGTCTGCCTTGGACCAAGGTAATTAGTACGAGAAGAATGATCAACTCAGGTGGATGTACTGGCTAGTCTACTGATCCTTGTTTGTTTCAGTTAGCCCTCGTCCTCAAGCTTCCAAATCCGGAGGTGGGAATTCAGGTGTTAATTCTAGAGGTGCGGATGAAAGTACGAAACGGAGGAAAGTATCTGGAAAACAGACATCTGAACCCTCATCTTCTGGGGATGAGTTGTTATCAGCAGTGCCTTGTTTGGTTACACTTAACCCAGGAGTAAGAATTGTCACTGTAGCTGCTGGAGGCCGCCATACTTTGGCACTTTCAGGTAATTCCTATCACCCAAGGAATGTGTACTGCACCACACTTTGATATGTAGTTGTGGTATTTACAGTATTGAACACCGTATATGAAGCTTGTAGCTATGGAAGATCTTGAAATGAGAAGCAAGATTCTCGAGGTATCCTAATTTTCTCAAAGTCTTCAGATATAGGACAGGTATGGGGTTGGGGATATGGAGGTGAAGGCCAGCTTGGCTTGGGCTCCAGGATCAGAATGGTGTCTTCTCCACATCCTATACCCTGTATAGAGTCTTCTCAGGGTAGAGATAAATCCGGGGGTTATTCTCGAGCAGGCATGACTTCAGAGGGCCAAACATTTCGAGTAGTTGGAAATTATATTAAAGCAATAGCCTGTGGTGGCCGGCACAGTGTTGTTATCACGGGTATGATTTTGATCTTTTGTTTTGCATCTACCTGAATCATATAGTCTACTCAATCTTGTGTGGTACCTTGATGGCATGTATGGCCTAAGTCGTGTGATTATCCGCCTCTAAAGTGGCTGCATCCGCAGATGCTGGAGTGTTGCTCGCTTTTGGCTGGGGACTCTATGGGCAGGTACTTATACATGCTGTTTTTCTTACTGTTCAGAACGATAAGCTCTGATGTTTCTGAAACTTCACTTCGAAGTTCTTATCTGTAATCTATTATTATTCTTGAGAGTTGGAGGTCTGACTTAATAAGATATTTGGATGCGTACTCAATATAGCTAAACTAAATTATTGACCAACTCTTGGATGGTTGATCTTTTTGCAGCTTGATATGCTTTCATTAAATTGATCTTCCCGTGTTATGCCTATATCTACTTCCTACATAAAAATGCGGTGTTGCAATGTTGTTAAAGTTCAACCCTGAATGTCCTATTGTTCTACCCAAATTGGCTTGTTAAACATTCGTTGCCAATCTGTATGATGCTGATGACAGATAAAATTGTAGGTAAGCTGAAACTGGTCACGATCAAAAAGCAATTGTTGATGTTGGAAGATGATGTCCACTCTAACAAGAGATAAACTACTACTCTTTTTATCTTTCTTCATTAGTTACCCTTCCCTGCTATTAGATTTTGATAAAGAATGTCTGCTCTTTAATGGTGTAGCAGGACTTAGTACCCTTTATATTTGTCACATGTATATTTTCTCCAGTGTGGACAAGGTAGTACGGATGATGAGCTGAGTCCAACCTGTGTATCTTCAATGCTGGGCATTCGGATGACAGCAGTCGCTGCCGGGCTGTGGCACAGTGTCTGCGTTTCAGATGATGGTGATGTTTATGCGTTTGGTGGGAACCAATTTGGACAGCTGGGAACTGGTGTTGACCAAGCAGAGGTACCTACCATAAGCCATCTTCATTTCACCTCATTTCACCTCATTTCATTGACTTGAATTATCGTGGGGCAAACCAGACACTTCCAAGGCTACTGGATGCTCCGAGTTTGGAAAACGTAAGTGCGAGGATGGTCTCCTGTGGCGCTCGTCACAGTGCCATAGTAACCGGTACGTAAACTGAACACCCTCGTTTGTTCTTCTGTTAGTAATGTACATGCAACTACTGACATTTTGGCTGCTGACTATCTCGTTGAAGGGGACGGGAAAGTGTTCTGTTGGGGGTGGAACAAGTACGGCCAGCTCGGGCTGGGAGATGTGATCGACCGCAACATTCCTTCGCAGCTCACCATGGAAGGCTATACCCTTAGAAGCGTGGCTTGTGGGTGGTGGCATACCCTGTTGTTAGCTGAACACCAGCTGCCTTGAGGGCTTTGCCTAGCTAGGTTCTAGTTTGGATTGTAGCTTTCAGGTTGAACCTCAATTTTTGTTAGAATTAGCATGCAGTTCAGCATCTGCTATTGATCTCTGTAACACTGCCACCAATGGTCTACCTCGATGCATGGTGATTCTTGCCATATGTATATATCTCCGCTCGCCAGTGTTTGACGCTTTTGCTGTTCATGGTGGCACGTCAGGATTTGACTATTTTAGTTCCATTTGACGTGATTGTGAGGATGTATATAGAGCTCACTTGAATTTATCTGGTGTGTGGGTTATCAGTTAGGTTTTTATTTATCGTTGTCCTATTTCATGACGGCCAGCCAAATTGACCATTTGGGATTTGGGAGGTTGAGTATGGACTGTGAAAGTTGAATGACCGTCGCCACACAGTTTCTTTTCTTTTTCTTTGTGCTAAAAAATTATGGACCTACCGTATCCTGACTAACAAAAATTTGGTGGTGATTGGGGTGGTTACGATTTTAAATTTGCATTGCCCATTCTTATGGTATTTTGCAGCAAGTATTGAAAAGCGGTATGAAACGGTTCTGTACAAAATAGCCTATCAATAACTATTTTTTAATTCTTGCTTTTTATCCTATCTAGTTAACTGCTGTGAGTTCTGATTCAAGAACCATTTGGCGGGAATGAGCTCTGTCCAAAGTTTGATTCATTTGCATAGAGATTGCAGGTGGTCAAGTGTTTGGTAGATAAATTGTCCAGTCTTTACAAAGTGATTGAAATGAGATTTCACTATTGTGCTCAACGGGACTTGTGACAAATGCGACGAGCACCACGGCGTTTTGTTTACAAAAATGTATTTGTGAGCAATTCGACGAACAATATGAGCACGTTTTCATGGATGTGATACGGATTGCTTGAAATGGTAGTTGATGGAGCAAAGAGGAACTAGAATGAAGTATTGTCTAGTCCCACAATGAAATGCCCTCGCAACTCAGACCAACAAAGTCTGTCGCTTTCGGTGGATTACTGACCATTCACACAATGAGTTCCATACCCAGAAAAGGGCACAGCATGTGACTGGCTAATTAACCACCATCACCATGGCAGTATTAGCTCATTTTGACTTCGAACTTTGAGGAAAAGAAGGAGAAGCTTCGTGATGAGGAATGGCGATAAGACAAAAAAAAATATAAAACAAGAAAAAAGAAAAGTTTGCGAAAATTCCTTTCTTGTGGGATGCGGGGAACTCATCGGCGCTGCCATTTGCTCGCCGGCCTGAGATTCACGTTTAGAACCTTCGCCGGCTTGGGTGGCCAGTGTTGCAGAGGAGATTCAGGGAGCTCTCTCCTTCATTGGTTGAAACTTGGAACCCTAGGGTGGCTGGCGGCTGGATCCTAGGAGAGGAGGGGTTGCAATATATAAAGGCTCTATAGGTCTTGGGTGGGCTCCATTTTCCGCTTCCATGGGCCAAGAACCCACGCAGAAACAGGCCACTGGAGGCCCTTATCCGTCATATGATATAGGCGGGAATGAAAGATGTAGTTTGCTTGTAGGATTTTCATCGTGGATTTTAGATCAAAATCCTATATCCATGGGATTATGCACAAAGTTCATATTTGATGTTAAAGTGGTGTTAGGTTATAGTGTGTGGGTCCCATGTATGTGGGATTATTTTGAGGTCAAAATTCTCGTGGAGTCAATGGATTATAAAATCCCATCTATTTAGTTGGAATTTTGTGGAAGGCTAAAATCCATAATGGTAAATGATGTGTCTATCCTTATCTCTTTTCAATATTTCCTAGATTTGAACATTAAGGACACAAATCATTAAGGATATAAATGTAAATTCAGCACATAATTGATAAATCCCACGGATACAAATCCAATATGAAAGCCAACAACCAAACATGCACTTTTTAAAATCCAACACAAATCCAAAGTAACAAAATCCCACATAATCCTTCATCCATAAAATTCAAGGTTTTACCTAAATCCTTAATTTTCTAAAATCCTATAAGCAAACGACCTCGAAGCTCCTTTTGGGCTTATTCAGGCCTCTCAAATTTGAATGTCCAAGCAAAGCTCATTTTGTGAACAGTGATTTATCATTTTTTTTTATCTCTTACGTATCCTTTATTTAAGCAACATAACAGTCTTCAATCTCTAAAAGCGAGTCCTTCGTTCTCTCAAGCTTATCCACGAGCGTTTTGCAATGGGTTTTCTAGTGTTTGCTGAAAATAAGTCATTCGTGTGTGCTGATTGCATGTCTTGTTTGAAAGTCTTCAACTCAATCAGCTTCGACGACCATCTGCTTCTCTCTCAGCATACATTTGTCAACTCGAACTGACCATATCCATCGTGGGTCACAATCCACGATGAGTCTATAGAGGACGAACGAGTAAATTCTAGCTCGTTACGGTTAATGTATCATTGCAGACTTGATGATAGTTGTAATGACATCTCTTTAATTGATAAGTTACGAGCAATTGGCTATTTATAGTGAATGAAAACAATAATAATAATAAAAAGATGGAACAAACAATGGTAAAACACAATGACATGAAATCAAAAGAGAAAATCATAATAATGAAGAGTGTAATGATAGATAGGTGTGATGTCGGTTCTTGGTTTGAGGTTTGAAGATCGATTAATTATGTGTTAGGTAAAGTGTTTTCTTTCTCATTCCCTACGCTTGCAAGTTGCAAGAGAGGGGAAGGGGCACCTCTCGGAGCTTTGACCCGAGCTTTCTTCTTAATTATTTATATCTAGGCTACTTAACCTTCATTTGTGGAAATAACACTCCACTCATCTATTCTGGGGTCGATTCGCTGCTCACTGCAAAAGGAAGAACTTGAAAACAAGCTTTTTATAAGGCCAAGCAAGCGAGTGAATCTGTGGGCTTATTTGTACCGAAAACACTTAATGACGTGACAACCAATTCAATCAAAGTCTTTCAATTAAAATATTTTTTTATGGTGATTCAATTAGAATTGAAGAAATATTGTTTCTAGAAAGAGACTTGGAAAGAAGTGGGATGACAGGGAAGTAACCCAATATTTGCATGTCATTTTCACGGCAATGATGGTCGGGCTGCAAACGATTCGAGTCGAGTTTTGCTTAATTTGAACTCATTTTATTTTTAAATTTGATAATCCAGCTCGAACTCGAGCTCGACTCGATTAAAAATAATTCAGCTCGAGCTCAATCTGGTAGAGCTTAGCTTGACAAGCCACCGAGTCAAGCTAGCTCACGAACTTATCAAGCTCAGCATGATCTAGGTCAAACTTGGCTCGTTTATTAACAAATCGGCTCGCGAGCCGGCTTGTTAAATAAAGAGCCAAGTGTCGAACGAGTTTTTTCCGATTCTAACGCCGAATTGCTCGCGAGCAGCTTTACTTATTTAGAGCCCTAGATGGTATATACAAATCCCAACCTAACTTATTATTCCAAAGTGGACGGTTGAGTAGTTCAATGTTGATCACTATTATGGTCTGTGTTGCTTCACTCCTATAAAGCAAACTACACCGTCAGAATTCCAGCCAGACCACACAAAAAATCACTTGTAGCAGGGCCGGCCCTAAGAATGGCCATATTTTTCCTTTAAAATCTAATAATATATAAATAAATAAATAAAAATTTATTTAAAATAATATTATTTAAAATAAAGAGTGATAATAGTTCACAATTAATCAAATAACTAGAACTCATCCGCCCAACAAACAAAGGGAGATATTTAGCTGCTACCCGGGTTGGAGCCAACTCCTACAACCCACCTGCGTGTCATATTTTAATTGGATGTTAATTTGTTTTGGTTAGTTAATTTTCTGTACTTACCCATTTTAGATTTTCCTTTTATATTTCTATTTTTTCCTCGCAAAATGTGTTACCCATTTTATACAAAAACTTAGTTATTAGAAAAACTAAAGTAATTTTTTGATAATATAGGTGAAATCACTTTTTATTAATAAAAAAATTCAATGTTAATCTATTGCAATATGTGGTATTCTTGTGGACACCAAATTAGTGATAGATTAATGCTTCAATATTTTTTTTTTCAAAAAATCCCTCAAAATATTGAGCATACAATAAGATATAAGTAAGTCATATAACAAAAAACAACGAAGAGCATAAACTAAACCAATCAAAGAACCACAAAAATGCTTTCTTTGCCATCAACTGTACAAGCCTATTATCATTATAACCAACAGATTATCTTCCGAAAACTTGTCAAACATCCAATTAAAGGGTGATACTTAGCTGCTAGCCACTTACGTGTCTTGCTTTAATTGGGTGTTTATTTGTTTTATTAACTATTTCGCTTGTTCTTTCTTACTTTATACGAATAACTTTTATAATAAAATAATTAAGTTACAAACTATTGAGAAAATCTAAAAAAGTTATTTCATGTCGAAGTTGTACGAGGTCATCTCCGACTCTGTTCTTCTTGAGTTGTCGGGTCTTTACTATGCGATTTTGTGATGTCTAGTTAGTGAGGTGATGCTTATAGCTTTTGCTGGTAATACGAAGATGGTGTTTGACAAGGTTTCGGAAGATAATCTGTTGGTTATAATGATAATAAGCTTGTACAGTCGATGGCAAAGAAATCATTTTCGTGGTTCTTTGGTTGGTTCAGTTTATGCTCTTCGTTGTTTTTTGTCATATGACTCACTTATATCTTACCGTATGCTCAATATTTTGAGGGATTTTTTGAAAAAAAAATATTGAAGCACTAATCTATCACTAATTTGGTGTCCACAAGAATACCACATATTGCAATAGATTAACATTGCATTTTTTTATTAATAAAAAGTGATTTCACCTATATTATCACAAAATTACTTTAGTTTTTCTAATAACTAAGTTTTTGTATAAAATGGGTAACACATTTTGCGAGGAAAAAATAGAAATATAAAAGGAAAATCTAAAATGGGTAAGTACAGAAAATTAACTAACCAAAACAAATTAACATCCAATTAAAATATGACACGCAGGTGGGTTGTAGGAGCTGGCTCCAACCCGGGTAGCAGCTAAATATCTCCCAAAAAGAAATTAACTAGAACTCACCCAAATAGGTGATGGGAACTTAATTGAGTAGAAGAGGAGAATAACCTTAAACGAATCAAAAAGTATGAAAAATATTTGAGGAGAAAATATTAGATAGGAGAAGCTTATCATTTTTAAAACTAAATTAGTCAAGTACGGTATATACTATTTATAATTGATTTACTTCTTTTCTCTTTTTTGCCGTTACTGAGTTTTGCCTTGATTTACACTTGATTAGACATATACATGATACATGTCGGAGCAGTGGCGGACTCAAGAATTTAGATAGGGTTGTCATCTTTTAAAAATTAAATTAATAAGAAAATAATTACTTAATAATTTTTTTTACAACAAATAATTACATGGCGTGTTTTGTACTTTGGAAAATTGTAAAATACATTATGTCTCTATGACTGCTCTACAAATCTCTCTCGATATATCATACTAGACAAGGGGCCCCGTAATTGGGTTTAAACGTTAGCTTTTAAAAATAATTGGAATAAAAATAGTTTTTTATTATACTTGGATTTAAAATGAAAGAGCAAATGAGTTTGTAGTCTAATGAAAAATATATTTAGTAATTAATAATAGTAGGAGTGACTCAAATTCAAATTGCATAGAAGACCACTTAAATGTTTTTATTTGCGCATACGCAAACTACTACCGGGTCTTATAATAATTTTTCAAATTTTAGAGGTGTTTTGCTACCACTTAAATACTTTTTTCACTAATACGCAAGCTACTATTGAGAAATGAATAATCGTTTTCCCAAATTTAAAAGTATTCCTATAAATTCGCTACTGAATCGGAGGCCCCATATTTTAGAGGCCTGTGCCGGAGGGCCTATTATGTTACCCAATTCGCGTAAGTTGTCCCGGCGCTCCCGCGCTAATTCGCAAAAACGCGAATTTTCAGTGAAGCGTTCCAAATTCGCGAATTTTGTAATGTCAGAGCGCGGATTCCACCGTGATTGTTATCGGCGATGCTGATATACTGGCAGGCAGGGGAGAAGACAAGGGGCTTGCTATTTGCCGCCAACCAAATTGCTATTTGCCGCCAACAAAAAAAAGTATATATATACATCTTTGGTTAAGGAGTTTCACAATCTACAACATATCCAACTTTCAGAAAACGCATTGAATCAGAAAAATTCAACGCTCGCCGGAAAAGTCGCCGGAAAATCATCGGGAAAGCCTATCCTCGACATATACTGCGTACACGCATCAATGAATCATCACTAAGCAGGTGCGTAATTTTTTTTTGTAGTTTCGAACAATTTTTCTGACGATTTGAAACGAACAGACTGTGGGCCAAAAAATTCCGGCGGGCGGAACCAGGCTGAGCCACAAGATATTTTCGGCTCAGCCTGGCTCCGGCCGCCGGAATTTTTCGGCCCACCGTCTGTTTTTGGAATTTTTCGGAAAAATTTGATTTTAGGAGTTGAATTTAGAGTTTAGGAGTTGAATTTAGCGTTTAAGAGTTGAATTTAGCGTGTAAGAATTGAATTTAGAGTTTAGGAGTTGAATTTAGCGGTTAAGACTTGAAATTAGCGTTTAGGTTCACAGGAATATTGATAATATTGTAATTGTAGGAAAAATGTCAGAGTTGTTACCGGCCGATCATGATTACACACAGGAATTTGAGAATGGGATCCATTATGCAAGTGTGAAGTTAGCTGAGTTAGCTGCAAGAACAATCGTTCAGGAGTGTGGGTTCTTTATTGGTAGAGGAGCATGGAAACCGAATACTGCTGGACTACATCCTGTTACTGCCCTCTGTATGTATTGCGACAGAAGTAGTAGGATCGTTAAGTCTTATAAACCAGACCCTACGAAGGAGACGCGTGGGAATATTAGTTCGAAGGGTACTGGTTGCCAGTTTCAGATATGTATAAAGGAAGTATGGCAAAAGGATGGTCCAAACACATGGGTCATAGTGGGAGTGACAAGTCGTGAAACCGGAGCTAATAGAGGGTTTCACAACCATGAAAAGGTGTTGTATCCAGAACATCACCGACACAACAAATAGTTTAGTGAGGCTGAAAAAGAGAGGTTAAGATTAATGAGGAAGGCGGGGGTGAGACCAAATCAGCAGAAGACGACACTCAATACTGAAGGGGGTGTGCATCATGATATCAAACAGATGTACAACATAAATTCCAAGACAAGATTGGATGAGATGGGTGAAATGGATGCGATACAGTTTGCGCTTCACGGAGCTGAACATCGTGGGTACCATATCTGTTTGCAAAAGGACTCTAATAATGTGCTCACTAATCTGTTTTTTGCGCACCCGACGTCCATTCAGATGTTGCATGCATGGCCGTACGTCATCCTCATTGACTCGACCTACAAGACCAACAGGTACGGCTGGCCATGGGTTGAGATTATTGGGGTTACTCCAGTCAAGAAGAATTTCAACATTGCATGTGCAATTATTAAGCAGGAAACAAAGGAAACATATGAGTGGCTGCTGCGATGTATTAAAGGGTTGCTCGGTGATACGGTTCCGAATGTCATTGTGACAGACAAAGAAGGTGGTTTGCTTGCTTCTATTCCTGTGGTCTTCCCTCTCCCACATACTGTCCACCTCCTATGTTTATGGCACGTCAACAACTGTGTGAAGCAAAAGTTTGAAGTGTTACTGGGTGGAATTGCAAAAAGAGAGGTAGCACAAGCGGTATGGAAGAAATATTTCGACAAAGCTGCATGGAGTTGGACCGAGGAGGGTTTTCTTCAAAAGATTAATGAGTTTGAGAGGGTCTGGACAGTGAAGAACATAAAAATGGTCCACTACGTGCGAGGTGAGTGGTTGCCTCATCAGACAATGTGGGCAAAGTGCTACACGAACCATGTGTTTCATCTTGGTAACACGAGCTCGAATAGAGTTGAGTCATCTCACTCTTCATTCAAGACTTTCCTTGTGTCTGGTAGAGGAGCGATCGACACTTGTTTTGCGAAGAACCACAACTACATGGAACATCAGTTTCTGGAAGTGGTGAATGAACTTCACAAGTCACTGAACCGCAATCTGAGTAGGGCAATTGAGCCTCCGTGCACGTTTTTGAGGAGGGTCGTTAGTTCTGAGGCAATCAAACTGATGTTAGATGGGGCGGCGGAGTTGAAGGACAGTTGTGCGTGTCATTTTCAGATGACACATGGGCTCAAGTGTGCTTGCCAGATTGTTCAAGCTAAGGAAGAAGGACGTCAATTCTATGCTCAAGAGTTGCATGTATTTTGGCGGACTTTGGATTATAAAAACCCCCCACGTCAACAACAAGTCAGTGATGAAATTGAGCTTCAACGAGAACACTTTAGGCGTCTTACTGTTGAGGTGGAAGAAAGAGGTCCTGAAGCAGTGAGACAAGCAAGAGATGCCCTATTCTATGGGCTTCACCCAGCAGAGGACAATGTGGAGATCTGCGAGGCTTCACACGGCCAGGCTGGGTGAGCTACACGGCCGTGTGCCCCTGGCCGTGTGGTTGCACTTTTTTCATTGTTAGGTGTTGTGTTTTAGCGTGTCAGAAACATGCAGTCTAAACATAACCATCCGATCCAAACATACATAAGTAGTCAAACATCCGATCTAAACACAAATATGGAAACATCAAGTCTGAACATAAACATCCGATCCAAACATACATAAGTAGTCAAACATCCGATCTAAACACAAATATGGAAACATCAAGTATGAACATAAACATCCGATCCAAACATACATAAGTAGTCAAACATCCGATCTAAACACAAATATGGAAACATCAAAACAACTAAAAATCCCCTGGAGGGGGGAGTCCCTGAGAAGCCCAGTACTCAGTCCACACATCCTGCACTCCGTGCAGTGCCCTGTAGGCTCGTCGAGAATGCTCAACAAACTCCTCCTCGGTCCCTGCTGCTGCTCGAACCGCAGGTGCAAACGTGTACAAAAGGTCCCGACCACGCTGCATGAAAAAAAAAAACAAGAACAATTTTTAGTTTCATGCTAAGTATATTTATAATAGAGTAACGATTTAGTGGTCAAATCTTACCGCTGCGGAGTCAACTAGTCGATCTGCCTCTCCATCATCCCGTAGGACTCTACAATGAGAGTGCGCCACGAACCAGTCAAGATAGTCTCTCGTAGTCTCATATGGATACGTCGTCCACGGCTGAGAGTACATGTCTATATGAACCATGTGGGATAGCAGAGTATCCCATGCAGCATCAAAACTCTCAGGAATCCGAATGACATATCCACCAGGTGCCTCTGGTCGGTCTGCTCGCTGAGGACGCGAAGGGGCAGGCGGTACCATCTGTCGGTATCCAAACTGTCGGAGGCAACGGGCTGGATCATAGAACTCGCCTATGTCAGCGAACCGGATGACTCCAGTGTACAAAGAGCGACGCACTGCCTGATGAGGCCTTTGATGGAAAGGTGTCCAAAACACATCAGAAGGGGTTAAGCTGTCAAGAGCTCGACGGTAGAACGCCAACCTCCCACTGGAATCAGCCACAGAACCAGGTGTCGGCTGCCCAACCCATCGTGAAGCCCAAGCATCATCAGGTCCAACAGCGGCAGGCTCGAAGTGAGATGGCCTGAAACCCGGAAAGTACTCGTAGATCCAGCACTGCAGAAGTGTGAGACAACCAGCCATCCCCCTGGCACCAGCACGAGACGCCTGACCAAGGTATCTGTACAACCAAGCAAGTGTACCTGACGCCCAACTATACTGATCTAACTCCTCCAACTCGTCCAAAATTAGGTTCACCACCGACCGAACCCTGTCTCTACTCTTGTCCACAAACAAAGTGGACCCCAACAGCAACAACAAGTACGAGTGCGCCTCTGTCACATGTGTCCCGTGGCTCTGCAAGTATCTGGACGCCATCTCTGCAAGAAAACCACCCTTCTCGTACCACTTACCCCTATTATTATATCCAGGGACCTCCGAACGACCACTCAACTGCTCCGAGTTCATCCCAAGAAGCACACACAAACCCGCCTCCGGATGGTCAAGCTGCGCAGAACTCCTACTCATCAGTCGTCCCTCAACAGGAATCTGCAGTAAGTACTGAACATCGTGGAGGAGGATCGTCATCTCTCCAAAAGGCAAGTGGAAGGTGTTCATGTCTGGCTGCCACCTCTCCACAAAAACTGAGATCAAAGCCTCGTCAATCGCTATCTTGCGGAACATAGAGTAGATCAGGTGCTGGAGACCTGACTGTGCCACCAGATCCTCCGCCTCAACATGACTAAACACGTAGCTACTCAGATAAGAAACCGCCAATGTACGGCTGTAGCAACTGATGACCCCTCGATCTCCAGCCCCCGTCCAAAGCGCATAGGCAACGTGGCCACGAAAGCTCCTAATGAGGCTAGGATCCGTAGGTCCACCAGGACACTCACCAACAAGCTCCCACGGTGGAGGACCACTCGAACGTCCTCCCCTACTCCGTCCAGTCCCCGAGCTCTCTGTCTCCTGACGAGCAGGTTGATACGCCCCTGGGGGGTGTATGTTATCAAAGTAACGCAGCAAACGACTCAATCGAAGAATCGATTGAGCTCGAATCAAGAACGAAGCGTTCTTAATACGAACTTGGGATAAAACGGAACCAACGGACAATTCCACACCTGGGGAAAGCTCGTATGGTATAAAAGGGTAGCTGCTCGACCACGATTGAAGAGAATATTCAATCGATACAAAGCTCACAAGCTTGGAATCCACCAAACTCAAACAAGTCGCAACTTGCACAAAAACCAAAAGGTTCTCAATTCGATTAATCAAAGTCTTATGATTACAATGTAAATAGAAGAGTATTTAAAGGCAAATAAACCTAATACAAACCTAGATGAACAAGGAAACAAATAAGGTAAAATTCTACTCTAAAAAGGTTACAAAATTCGGACACAAACTTCCTTTCTTGAAGCACAAGTAAGCTGCCCGCAAAACAGTCAAAAGGCAGCTTTCGTACTAACTTTGTGCCTTGCGTTCGAGGTCTTCCCGAACTCCAATCTTTCATCCGATTCCTTCCCTTGGTAGATAAACATACCTAGTTTTATGTTGTGGAAGCCTTTGGACTTGAATCAGATCCATACTCCTCGAATTGAGCTCTAAAGTAGGCTTCACAAAACAGTTTTCGGCCTTAGCCATTTTCTGGCAGTTTTCCAGTTTTGAGGTAGCAACTTTGAGGCCTTGGAAAACAACCTTAATGACATCATCTGGATCCACAAAGCATACCATTGGAAAGATGGTAACTTTATCTGCAAAACAAACCCTTAAAATAGAATTTCCACCAAGCCAATTGAGAGAACCATGCCTCCAAAGTATGTACCCTGAACACGGATTTTGACTTAGCCAAATTCTGCCTTTCTTCTTCCCAACTTTGATAGCTTCTTTGTCAAATAATTGTGACGTGAATAGTTGACCATTTGGGATCATATCACAGGTGGTACGAATCGCCCAGCTCGGTCCCTATACATAGCAGGACGTGATGTTGTCGTACAAGACGGCCCTCGTCCATGTCCACGCGTAGGTGGAGGGACCTCGATATCCTCATCATTATCGTCCTCATCAAAATCAGCCGAGACCACTCTCGATGCAGCACCCTGGTTCCTCCCATGGGAACCAGACGCCCGTGATGCCAAACGAGCAACTACAGTAGGAGCCTCTAACTCATCCTCCCCTAAATTTGCCTGTGACTGATGTCCAATATCTCGAGAGCGCTTATTCTCCTTATTCTTCCTTCGTGCTGATACATCAACAACCCTACCATTGAATCTATTCAACTCATTCCCACCCGCATCACCCGCATCATCCATATCTAATTATCTACAAATTTAAACAATATCATACTTAGATGCGCACTAATTAATTAATTTTCTATTAACTAATGTACTATTAACATTAATTGTTAATTAATCAGAAATTAATTAATTTTCTATTAACTAATGTACTAAATATTAACATTAATTATTAAATCAATTCTTAATTAATTAAAATTCCATTAACTAATTCTAAGTAATTAAACTTTCAAACGCCTATTACAAAAAAAACATTTATACACCAACTTAAATAAATATTAACACTAATTGCTAATTAATTATCATATTATATTAAATTAAATACAAAAACTGGCCGGGCAGAAAGAATTTTGTGGCCATTGCGTCGGCCGGCCGAAAAAAATTTGCGGCCGGAGCGACGTCGGGCCGAAAAAATTTTGCGGCCGGTGCGTCGCCGAGCCGAAAAACATTTGCGGCCGGTGCGCAGTCCGGCCGAAAAATTCTTTCGGCCTGGCGACGTTCCGGCCGCAAATTTTTTTAGGCCGGCCGACGAACACGCCGCCGGAAAATTTTTGGCCGGCGTGTTCGGCGACCGGCCGAAAAATATTTGCCGAAAAATTCTTTCGGCCCGGCGACGCTCCGGCCGCAAATTTTTTTCGGCCGGCCGACGAACACGCCGCCGGAAAATTTTTGGCCAGCGTGTTCGGCGACCGGCCGAAAAAAATTTGCGGCCGAGGCGTCCCCGGGCCGAAAGAATTTTTCGGCCGGCCGTCGTACCGCCGCAAAAATTTGTCGGCCCGACGTCGCTCCGGCCGCAATTTTTTTTCGGCCCACCGTGTTTTTCGCCGGAAAACTGACCGGAATAAGTCAACTTACTTGTTTTCCGACGATTGAGGGCGACGGGAGGTTAGCCGACGACGGAAGAACGGTGTCGGCAACGGAGGCACTGGGCTCGTCAACAGAAGTTTTTGTTGGAATGAGTCAAATGTTCCTGGTATCCGAATTTATAGAATGAAACGAAGGGAAGGGAGGGAAAATTCAAAATTTGAATTCAAATTTTTTTTTTTTAGTTGGCGGCAAATAGCAATTTGGTTGGCGGCAAATAGCCGTTCACGAAGACAAATATATTCTCCTTCCGACGACAGTTGCTGATGTTATTCAATCCTTTGAAGGGTTAGAAGATATGGGCTGCATTCTTGGGGATCAGCAAATGGATCAATCTGCAGTCCAGACTCTGATTCAGGGGCGGATACATGCTGCTTTAGGACACTCCTAAAATTTGGTAAAATGATTAGTCAACTCCTGGTAGTAGTTTCGTATGAATAAAAATAGTATAATTGATAAGTTGGGACACTGCTAAAATTTCAAAAATGATTATCCTACTCTCAGTAGTAGTTTACGTATGATTTAAATAAAATATAAGTGATAATCAGTGTTATTCATACTTGGGACATACTATCATTAAACATATTCTCCATTAGCTTGCAACTCATTTGTTGTTAAATTTGAACACTATGTAATAGTAAAAATATTATTCCTTATCCTCAAATATTTTCAGAATCTAACAATTAAACTAATTACATGTTACTCTTAATTTGAATTGATTATATGGTTGCACCGCAAGTGTTGAAAGACTCTTTTCAACTTTGAGTTACATCAAGAACAATGTTAGAAATCGAATATGCGATCCGTTCGTGAATTATTGTCTAGTAGGATA